TCCAATAAAGATGTTAAAAAAAAATTCACTGAACCCCACTTTGCAAGCTTCTAGCACATCTTGACTAACAGACTCCTAGGTTGCCCTCTGATTTGTTCCTGCTCCTACCCTGTTGAGAGTGATTAACTTGTCATATAATCTTCTCAGGTATCATTGAGGGTCTGCGTAGAGCTGTGCATTCTGTTCCATTGATAAGTTTATCCTTGCATGTGCTCCACGATGTTATCCTTAATGAAGGATAAGAATATATTTTAATATCTGGTAAAAATAAGTTTCCATTCATACTTCAAAAGGCTAAAAGATAATTAGCCTGTTAACATGTTTCTGCAAAATCCAGGCTGCCTGTTGAGAGAACTCTATTTCATGCTGTTTTTTAAAGCAATTTACTCCAATAAAGATGTTAAAAAAAAATTCACTGAACCCCACTTTGCAAGCTTCTAGCACATCTTGACTAACAGACTCCTAGGTTGCCCTCTGATTTGTTCCTGCTCCTACCCTGTTGAGAGTGATTAACTTGTCATATAATCTTCTCAGGTATCATTGAGGGTCTGCGTAGAGCTGTGCATTCTGTTCCATTGATAAGTTTATCCTTGCATGTGCTCCACGATGTTATCCTTAATGAAGGATAAGAATATATTTTAATATCTGGTAAAAATAAGTTTCCATTCATACTTCAAAAGGCTAAAAGATAATTAGCCTGTTAACATGTTTCTGCAAAATCCAGGCTGCCTGTTGAGAGAACTCTATTTCATGCTGTTTTTCTCTTATGGATAACTTTTAAGTAACGCTTTGCTTCACAGAGCTGTAATTATATTAGTTCTACTTTCATATCAGCAGGACTGAAGAATACATTTTAAAAAGAAGTTGAAAACAAAACCTTCTGTACTAGAACAGAAGTTTCTTTTTCTATTGACCTGATCTTAGAAATTCAACTGCCATCAAACCCAGCTCTGCACAGAATACTTTTCCAAAACTAACAGCAAAACTCAGCATTTAGGTCTTACTCTCGCAACCAGGCAGTTAATTATGCCTGTGTTTGGTTTTGCATATGTGAGATGTTATTTAGAAACTTGTTCTCAAGATCTTTTGCAAGGTGAGAATATGTATATACTTCTGAATTTCCCTTTTCTGTATGCTTCTAGAACTAAATCTTGGCTTCGGGGAGGTAGGGGCAGTGTTTCCTACTTGTGTACACCAATGCTCAATAAGAAATAAAAGATTATATGTAATAAATAGCCTTAAATTTGTTTAGCAAATTTTTCTAAAAATTTAGTAACATTGTCAGGAATCAGGTTACTCTAAGGTATGTTATTAGTGAAACTTCTGTCGGTAAAGAAAATCTGTTAGGAGCTTATAGATAGGTTGACTTTTAATAAAATTTATTTTATCACAAATATTACAGCAAGAATTGACTCAGTGTACTTTTTTAAGAATGCCATTGTGCAGAGCTTTATAGGGATCATCTCATTTAATATAAATAATGAGAAAGCTTCTAGAATTATGAGTGTATATGTGTTTCTTTTAATGTTCCATAAAACTACTACTAGTAATAATAATAGATAATGTAATTTAACCATTCAAACTGTATGTTTACAATAGACACATGTAGGGATATAAAATGTTTACCAATAATGTAAAAAAGATTTTAATTTTGAAAACATGAGAAAATCAGTATTGTCATATTTTTAAATTATACAAACAGAAATACTGAATTTCAGTTTGGTATTTGTTAACAATTGTCAGAGCACAGTAATTAATATAAAATTTATTACTTTTTTCTGAGCCTCTGATTTTTCTGCAAATTTCTTTTTTTTTTTTCCTGCGGTATGTGGGCCTCTCACTGTTGTGGCCTCTCCCATTGTGGAGCACAGGCTCCGGACGCGCAGGCTCAATGGCCATGGCTCACGGGCCTAGCCGCTCCGCGGCATGTGGGATCTTCCCGGACCAGGGCACGAACCCGTGTCCCCTGCATCGGCAGGCAGACTCTCAACCACTGTGCCACCAGGGAAGCCCCAAATTTCTATTTTTATTCTCAAATGTTTCTTGTTTTTTAAATATAATTCTGCTTTGACCTATTGTCTGTTCAACCATTTGTGTACACTTACTGAAATACAAGTAACTGAACACTAACTGTATACAATCCAAATCTCATTAAAATAAATTCAGCCCTAACGAAATTCTTCATACTCTTTAATACTGATTTCCCAGTCAGTGGCCTACCTGAAGTTTGAAGAAGTATTCTGAGTATAAAAAAAAAATTCTCATACTCTGTGATAGAAACTTATGAATGGATCCTTGCAGTTTGCCATAACAGGCTTTTACATATTAACAACAGCATTCTGATTCTGTGTGTAATCAAAAAACTGTTATAAAGCAAAAACTAACACACCATTGTAAAGCAATAATACTCCAATAAAGATGTTAAAAAAAAAAGAACAATGCTGGCCAAACTTGAGAATGGTTGCCTTAATGACATCTCCTGATTACAACTGTATGACGTTTTCTGCAGCTATATCTAGATATATTGACTAGGAAAATAACCTACTTTTTCAGCTCTGTTAAGCACCCCTTCCCTCCCTCCTTCCCTTCTTGTTCATCCATGCATTCATTCACTTGTTCATTCAGTTATTCAACAAATATGTATTGATCTTCTTTGTGCTAGGCAATGCAACTATGCTCTGGTAGTCAGTGATGAATGAGGGCCCTTTTGGAACCCTCTTACACTGTTGGTGGGAATGTAAATTGGGGCAGCCACTATGGAAAACAGTATGGTGGTTCCTCAAAAAACTAAAAATAGAGTTGCCATATGATCCAGCAATCCCACTCCTGGGCATATATCCAGAGAAAACTATAATTCAAAAAGATACATGCACCCCTATGTTCATAGCAGCACTGTTCACAATAGCCAAGACATGGAAACAACCTAAATGTCCATCTACAGATGAATGGATAAAGAAGATGTGGTACACACACACACACACACACACACACACACACAATGGAATACTACTCAGCAATAAAAAAGAATAAAATAATGCCATTTGCAGCAACATGGATGGACCTAGAGATTATCATACTAAGGGAAGTAAGTCAGAAATGGAAAGACAGATACCGTATAATATCACTTGCATGTGGAATCTAAAATATGACACAAATGAATTTACCTACGATACAGAAACAGACTGACAGATATAGAGAACAGACATGTGGTTGCCAAGGGGGTTGCCCTTGGGATGAGGGAGGGCTGGATTGGGGGTTTGGGATTAGCAGATACAAAGTAGTATATATAGAATAGATAAACAGCAAGGTCCTACTGTATAGCACAGGGAACTACATTCAATATCCTGTGATAAACCATAATGGAAAAGAATATGAAAAAGAATGCATATATATATATATATGTATAACTGAATCACTTTGCTGTACAGCAGAACTTAACACAACACTGTAAATCAACTATACTTCAATAAGATAAAATTTTTTAAAAAATACGAATAAGGGGGCTTCCCTGGTGGCGCAGTGGTTGAGAGTCCTCCTGCCGATGCAGGGGACACGGGTTCGTGCCCCGGTCCGGGAAGATCCCACATGCCGCAGAGCGGCTGGGCCCGTGAGCCATGGCTGCTGGGCCTGTGCATCCGGACCCTGTGCTCCGCAACGGGAGAGGCCACAACAGTGAGAGGCCCGCATACTGAAAAAAACAAAAAAACAAAAAAGAAAAACGAATAAGGGCCCTTTCTCTTAGAGCTTACTCTCTAGTTATTTTTGAACATACATGAAAATTTCAGAATTTGCTCCTTTTAATTCTAACCTACAGGTTTTCTTTATTGTTATGAAATATTTCAAGCCCTCAGATATATACCAAAAATTACATAACAAATACCCATGTATTACCACACAGGTTTAACAAACATTATTAATATTTTGCCATGTTTGCTTCAAATCTCTCCAGATGTAACCATTAACCTTAAGTTGGTATGTATGTTTGTGTATATTATGACGTATGTTTTATATTTTTATTGCATATGTATAGATCTGTAAAGAATATGGTATTGTTTTATGTGGTTTTGTATTTTACATAAGTGATTTCATAGGATACATACCCCTTTGCAGTTTTTGGTTTTTATTCAACATTATTTTTGCCAATTCTCCATGTTGATGCATGCAGATGAAGTTTTTTTCTCCATTCCTTTGCTGATGCATATTCATACTTAGGTTGTTTACATTTGTTTAGTATTGTGAGCAGTAGGTCACTGAGCATCTTTACACGTTTTCTTGTATACATGTTTGAGTGGTTCTGTAAGATGTATACCTAGTAGTGGACTTGCTGGATCATAGGATGTACACATCTTCAATTTTGCTTTATCGAAGTGTATGGTTCAAGATGGCTGAATTGTTTATAAATCTGTTTTAAGTAAGGTGCAGTCTTAAGTACTGTTGCTAGGCTATTGAATTTTAGCTCACCTATTGTACTAAGCAGTGATAGATAGTGGGTGATTTCATTTTTTATTAGAATTTTATTATTTCATCTGTTAATAGAAGTTTAGACATAAATGAATACAGTGGCAAATTATACAAGCTTTTTAAAGGACAATGAACATATTTTCTGACATTTTAAGTCGGTCCTCAAATTGGTTAACTTTTAAGCACACTTTAAATTAGTATTAGGTACTTGATTTTGAATAGCTACTTTAGTGACTTGAGAAACTATAACATTTTCTTTAATTATTCTGTGGTTAAAACCATAAATTTCATTTAATTTTATAATCTATGTTAACAGTGTTAGCCTAAAAGATTTTATATACAGATTTAAAATCTAGTGGTGAGTGTAAGCTTGCACTTAAAATATTTTGTAATTAAGCAAATGAAATATCACAAATAAGCAAAGAACTTTGGGAGGATCTAAGCTTTGTAAATGCTAGAGCTTTGTTTCATAATTTTTTGTTCTTCAAGGAATTAGGCTGTATTTTATCATTCTTTTTAATATGTTTACCGTAAGTGCTTTAAGAAGTAGACTGAATTTTAGCTGCAGCAAATGTATCATGCAGGGAGTATCCTGGTTTAAATTCTGAAGTGCTTTCACTCCTGCTTGCTTCCCCTTGAAACCGTCTAGAAAGAAGTTGGCACATTATTGTGCGAATGTTACTGGACATCAGGAAATACATGACTGGATCTAAACAGCTATTAAAAGATGAGAAAACCAGCATGATCTCATTGGTTTTGTGAACGATTTCCTTCCAATAGCAAGACGACATATTTAGCTGTGAAGAAATATAGACAAATCGGAAGCCATGATAGGGAACAAAACATACAGTAAAAATGATAAGCACAATAAAGGAATTCCGGGCTGTAGTGGCATATTTGCCAGAATTAGGAAATTTTGATCTCCTTTTAGAAATCCTCAATAGATTCTTGCCAATCTTAATATAGGAAAGGATTATTAGTAGGAAAATTAGCCAGAACATTACCACAAGAATGTAGTTAAAAATTGCTTCTCCTTTTGCATTATGCTTATCTCTATAATGGAAACACATTGTGGAATTATGACCTCCTTTCTTAAGGGTTAAAATAATCATAGTTAAAAATCCAGCAAGGGCAATTATCCATACTATACAACAAACATAAATACTCTGTTTGGTTGTTATTGCCTTACGTTGTTGTATAGACCGATTAATTTTTATGTAGCGATCCAAACTGATGAATCCAAGCAAAATAATGCTAATGTACATGTTCATATAAAATAGTGTTCCCACAACCTTGCAAAGAATCACACCTAGTGTCCACTTGTTTTGGTTAATGTGATACATTATTCGGAAAGGGAGGCAGAAGATAAGTAAGAGGTCTGCAATGGCTACATTGAGTAGGTAAATCTGAATGGAATTTCTTTTGCGGTGGATACCCAGAAATACGTAGAGGGCAATTATGTTTCCAACGAGGCCCATGATGAAAATAACAGAGTAGAATGTTGTTAACACATTAGAGAGTAATTTTTCATCCATGGAACAGGCAGTAAAATTTGAGGCTCCTGAGAAGTTGTGTGGCCATTGGACGCTGTGATTAGTTATAAAGTGCACTCCCTGGGAGGAGCAAGGCCAGCTGCTGACTGAAGTTGCCGTCATTGTTACCATCTGACTTCTCGTTGTCTTCTGTAGGGATCAAAAAGTGAAGGTGCTAAATGACATGTTCCTTGACTGTAGCTTTTATGTCTTCAGATTTCTCCTACAACAGAATGCCAAACATTGAGTCACTTGTTATTTTAATAACAATTACTTTAGCTCAAAGCACAAATAGTAAATGATTTATTTTCAGACATTGTGAGAAGCTTTCCTTTTATCCTACTTTGGACCATTTGGATATCTACACAATATATGTAGCAGCATTATGGTATCACAAAACAAGCAGCACATATAGTAGAATCTTGTGGAATGTCCTGCTCTGAGCTTTTCTATGCTGTGATAAATGTTCAAGGTTTGTTTCATTTATTATATTAAAATAAATATATGAACTATGGAATCATCTTTTCTTAGGGAAGTTTTTATGGGAATAGAGATGGAGGTGAAATAACAGCTTATATTTTTCGAAGATGAGTGTCAGTTTCCCTAAAGGTAGTTACAGACATGAGTGAGCTGGGCCCACTGCTGGCCCCTGTCCAGCTTCCTGCCTTGACTCTTTCCCTCATAGGTGGCATTCATTCATTTTGACACGTGTTGCCACACGGTATGTGACAGATAAACTGTGGCAGTCTCTCATTCCATGGTGGGAATAGGGGAAATAGTCCTAAATTTCTTCCTTTTCAACCTAACGCCAAGTTGAGGGTATTAAAATGACTTGCCTACGGGGGCATGCAATTACCGTAACAGACCAATAGAGCACAGCACTTGCCTCGTTAGGCAGGCTCGTAACACTGCACAGGAGAGCAAAGTAGCCAAACAAAACCAAGTCAGGTGGTGACAGCCGCCAGTTAGGCACCTTGGAGAGTCTCCTTGACCTACAAGCAAAGAACATAGAGTGATAATGTAGATGGGAAAGAGGATGTGTAAACCAAGATTTTGGAAGGAAGTAACTGCAGCTGAAATATTCCGTGGGCTAGGTCATGTGAGACTGTTTGTAAAATAGTGTGTGAATTCCACTTGTTTGTGGCAGCAGAGAATGTTAGCAGTGGTATTTGTTACTGGCTCTTTGCTGGGCATTGGCTGCTGTGAAGAGTTCAGTCTGAGAGGCCATCATAAAGAGGAGATGTGAGGAGAGGATTCCAGAGGGTCTTGTCACATTCCTTTCTTAGAGTGACTTCCCTATTTCTTTACAGAAGCTTCTTAGGAGGTGTCATAAAGACATTCAGGGCAAGGTTATCAAAATCAGACCTAACTAACTCTGTGACCTTCAGCCAACAACTTAATCTTTTCTAAGCCTTAGTTTTTTTGTTTGTAGAAATGGAAAAATGCATTCTACAAACAACAAAACTGGAACATAGCAAGTGTTACGTTTACCCTGGAACATAATAAGTGTTCAATGACAGTTAGCTTTAAAAAAAAGAAACACCTTTTGATTAATTTTGTTTTAGTGAATATCTCACACTTGGCTAAGTACTGCTTGGAAAACGAAGGTGAAAATGACAGAGACCCTGCTCTCGGTAAATATTTTTTCAGGAGTGTGCATTTAAACTTTGAATGCTGTACAGTGGATTTGAATTACCATAATTAATTTCCTGATTTGAGCTTATACACAGAGAAAAGCATTTGGAAGAAGTTAGCCTTTCTTAAAACTACCTATAATTTGATCAAGAAGAAACCATTTTAGTAGAGTGTGAAATTCCTGTTTAAAATTTTGTCAAGGGGGGAAATTGAATCCCTGGTAGAGGAACTGACTGGTGAAGAGGAAGTTATGTAATCCCTGGTAAGAGCCTGTCGCCAGAGCTGAGGACAACGGAGGGAGGGAGGCAAGAGGACTGCGCCTGGTCTGTCGTGTGTCTCAACTGCACGGAGACAGATTTCACAAAGCTTATAGAAACTTATACGTGTGTTTCTGGTGATCTGAAATTCTAAAAAGGAAAGGGCAATCCAGGAAGAATGGCAGGCTGCCAAAAATGGAGCTGATAATGCAATGTAGATTACCAGGAAGAGGAGAAGGGCCCCTGTAGGGGATCTGTGTTGTGTGGTCACATAGGGAACTGGCTGAGGCTCAGGTAGAAACATCTCATAGCCACTGATGAAAGTGAGCTGAGGCATGGCAGGTGACACGATTTTGAGAGCTCAGACAGCTGAAATGACTTTAAAGGTCACAGAGTTTTTGTTTTGTTTGTTTTCCTTCTCCATTGCTATATTTTAAACTCCATTAGGGTTAGGAAACAAGTCTGTTTTGTTTGCCTCTGTGTACCAAGTGTTTAGCACAATAAATGCTGTTGAATGAAAAAGGGAATTTAGTAGAAAAGTATGTAAAGTCCTACATGTGGATATTAAAATAAACTATTCAAGTACAGGAAGGCCTTTAGCTACATGAACAAAAACACAATTGCAATTGACTGCAGTTGCTGTGTCCGCAGTGTGACGTGGCTGCAGCAAAAACTAATCTGTCTTTGGTTGACTTCATACCTATGGAGTGTCTTAAACGAAGATTGTCACTACTAATCGGTACTGTCCTAAGCTGGTAGGGTTCCACCTGGAATACAGTGTTTCATCCTCAGCAGCACACTTAAAAAAGGCCACAGAGCCAGTGCGGGGGGGAAAAGCCCAAATCATGTCAGAGGAGCAAGTGGAAGGAAACAGGCACCTGGAGATGTGAACACTTTCAAGGCCATGGAGAAAAGCATTTCACCTCTTGATGTATGTCTTCAGAAAGCAGAAGAAGGACCAGTGAGTAAAAATGCAGAGACAGATGTTGCCTGCTTTTAAGGAAATGCTTTTTTAGAATGAAACAATCTATTTGGGGAGGCAATAAGGTCTTACCACGGGAAGATTTTTTGAGACTACCACAGTTGGATACTCTGTATTAGAGACTCTCAGTGGCTCTCAATCCCGGCTGCATATTAGAATCCTCTTGAGGGCTTTTTAAAGATACCAATGCCTGGCTCCATCCCCAGATCTTCTGATTTAATTGGTCTGGAATGGGCTCCAGGCAATGGTTTCCTTTAAAAGCTCCTCAGGGGATTCTAATGTGAAGTCAGAACTGAACCCTTGAGCTAGATGACTGAACCAGTAACTAATATTTATTTAGCATATGCTGTGTACCAGACAGTGTGTTAAGCACATTTATATTATTTCATTTACATAATCCTTATAATAACTTTGTGAGGTAGGTATTAATGAAAGATAAAGATGTTTTGATCGTTACCCATGACCACACAGCTCTTAAATGTCTGTACCCAAGTTGAGACTCAGATCCGTCTAGCTTTTAGAGCCCATGATCCTTTTCACCAAACCTCACTCCTCCTAATCACATATGATCAGCATTTTCTTTATTAATGATGAGTTCTGTCAGCGGCATTTTGACATGATTCCTTTAGCATTATCCACATTAGCGATTTTAAGAAAAGATTGTCATCTAGCTTTTACCTCTTTGGAAAAGGTACTAACCTTTTTATTTGCTATGTCCATTATAGTAAGTAAGTAAGTCCAGAGTTTACAGAATCACAAATCATTCATCAGAATGTTCAGCATATCCCCCAGAGCATATCTTTTCAAACTTATTTCTAGGCCTGATTGTCATTATCAAGATGTTTCTAGAAAGCCATTAGCGCAAAGCACGTAGCCTGAAACCATTTGCCTCAGCTCTAATCTGCAAATGAAATAAATAAATAATAGTTGTACAAGATCACCAATAAACCTTTCTGGTTTTGCTTTATTTTCAAGCTCAAAGAGAACAATGTATTTGTTTAAATAGTAGTAGTAGATGTCATTTAGAACCCTGTATTGAATGGCTAGTGTTCAGTCATTTATTAACAAATTAGCAGATTAGATTCTGTTTGGAACTTAATGGCTGATTTCTGCCTCCTTTACAATGTGTCAGTCACTCGCTGTTCCTAAGGCCATTTACTGATGTTTTAAAAACTACTTACTTGATTTGTTAAGAATGGTCAGTGAAGAAACAAACCACTGCATTCACATAGGGACCAGTTTCCTAGTGGACATTAGTTGTGACTGGTGTGAAGTGGTCACAGTGGTTTTCTGATAGTAGATGGTTAATGGTTTTTAATTTTAAAATCCTGAAGTTTGCAACCCTGTATTAGTGCTGCATTGTACCCACCAGCACCACCCTCCCCTTGCCTGTAATTTTTCAACTGGCTCCTACAGGAGCTTCTGTATTAGAGGGCAGGACCCGACAGATTCCACTGTGGCCTCCAATGAGCAAAAGCTTTTTAAATGCAGTTTGGGTATGTTTGTGAAAACATCACATTGCTATGTTAAAATACATACCTAGTTGGCAGTGGTAGCAGCCGTTTACATTTGTAGTTTGACTTGATAATCACTGAGTCATTCAGGCCATGCTTTAAAAATTGCACTAATTTCTGCATACAAAGTGAAAATTGAAAGCATGTTACTTTAGAAAGGATATTAGTAGTACATTAGCTTTTGTTATCAATTTAACTGTGGCTAAAACATTTTTTAATTTTAGGTGAATTCACTAAAGGGTATTTTGCTTTTTCTTTTCTCTAATATTCACCATATTAACTTCTGAAACACGAAACTTAAAATTTAATTGGTCTGGTAAATTACCATAAAATAGAAATCATATAATAAAGAAAATACTATTATTGAAAATAGGGAGTCAGCATAACTTAATAAAAGTTACAGATCACTTATAATACACTGGAAATAAAATTTGTTGCATATGAAAATAACTTTTAATTGATTCAAGTAGATCTGCGAGTCTTAGTGGCAGTATACAAAATACAGTATAAACAATGTGACAGTATTGATAGTATGAGCGTAAATATCTCATGTCCTAAAGTACTTCAAGTAACTAAGACAGCCTCATTTTAAGTCAAGTCACGGCAGAGGTATCATTCAGTTTACTCAGGTTTCTAGAAGCAAAGTGTTGCTAGTCATCATGAAGCAGGTTTCATTTATATTACTCAGATAATCAGAATGTAACTTAAAAAAACGGATCATTTATGCAGTTGAAA